CAGACCTCGGCTGCTGATGGGAAGGTTCCCCCGTCCGCTGCTAAGGAAATGGCACCAGCTGGCAGGAGAAAGGGAAGATTGCCTGAGCCCGTTTGTCAGAGGAGACGGGGAGGGCTTGGAAGGTGGAAACATGGCTAGTCCCCTGGCCAGAGGGCCAAGTTGGGAGGAGACTGCGAGGCCCCGAGGAAGAGAAGAGCCCCGGGGAGACCGCCAGAGTGGCAGCAGGAGACACGGCACATTGCAGAAGGCAGCCTTAGACCGGGAAAGTGCTAATGCCCACAGCAGCCAGGAGGAGGCGCCACCTGCTGTGAGACGATGCCCTGGCACTTCCTGTTTTCCAGATGTGGAAACTGAGGCTCGGAGCGATTAAACGCCAACATTTGCAGACGCCCCCTCTGGTTTTGGCCGCCATGATGTGTCCAGGGCCACCTCCATTAGCTGGCACCAGGGTGGGCTTAGAACTCAGGACTTCTTGGCCCCGGGTTGGGTGTTTTTCTAAAAGAGATGCTCTAATTTAAGCAGGAATTGTTTCAGAGCCATTCTCTGGCCTGTTACACACCGGGTCAGACTAGAACAGGGCCAAGCAAAATACAGCCTGCGGGCTGATCTGACCTGCTAAGCCTCTGGATCTGACCTGCGGGCACCGCAGGAGCCTCAGTTCGGTGCCCTGTCTGCCTGCCCTGCACACCATTCACAGCAGCCGGCCTGTTTGTCTGTGAACAGCTGTGAGCCTCGGGGCAGGGGGGCCAGGTTTTGCATACTGCCCCCACCCCCAGCACAACTTGCAGCTCCCATTGGCCGGTTTCCAGACAATGGGAGTTGCTGTCTGAAGAACAGGCCAGCACATGAAGTACCTCCCCTCCTCCTCTCGGACTCACAGCTCTTCTTAGTTGCACAGGGCCCCACAGCCAGTTGCTCTGAGTGGCCTGGGCCATGGAAGGCAGGGAACCTGCTGGGCTGCTGGCTGGGAGTCACCCAGGTAAGTGTCTCCCAGGCAGAGCCAGCCTCTGGCACCCCAGCCCCTGCCTCCCCCCACACCTCTGCCCCGTATTTCAGCCCCCTACCCCATATAGCTCCTGCACCCAGACCCCTCCGAGACCTTGCCCCCCAGTCCCCTGCCCTAGGTCACAACCACCTCCTTCACACAAACTCCCTCCCAGACCCCACACCCGCTCTGCACCCCAGTCCCTTGCCGCAAGCTCCCTTCTGCACCCAATCTCCATCCCAGAGTCCACATCCCCTCCACTAATTGCATAGAAGAGGGCAGCCCTTGGCCACGTGCCAAATTCTTGCTCCTAGGTAGACAAAACTGATGGGACAGACCTCAACCAAGGCACGGCACCACGGACAGACCCTGTCACTCTGTACCGCACGCCAGAGCGGAACTGGGGCTCAGGCCTCCAGGTGCGATCCAGCCCGTCAGCGGAGGTGCAGATCAGTGTCTGTCCAAAGGTGCCAAAATATGACGGCGATGGGCACTATCTTACTTAGACTCCTAGAGCCCCAGGGTGGCAGAGACCTCAGGAGGCACCGAGTCCAGCCCCCTGGCCAAGGCAGGACCAACCCAACTCAATCAGCCCAGCCAGGGCTGTGTCAAGCCGAGACTTGAACACCTCTAGGGATGGAGACTCCACCCCCTCCCTAGGGAACCCAGCCCAGCGCTTCCCCACCCGCCTAAGGAAATAGTTTGTCCTAACACCCAACCTAGCCCTCCCCCACTGTAACTGGAGCCCATTGCTCCTTGTTCCGCCACCTGCCCCCACTGAGAACAGCCTCTCTCCAGCCTCTTTGTTAGTTGGAATACTTCTGGATTTGGGACCCCTGTGACCACGACTGTTGCGGTCCTGGTGGCCACAGTTCTCAAAGGATGTTAATGATTTTGGGAGGGTTCCGAGAAAAGCCATGATGAGGACTGAAGGCCTGGAAACGGTTCCTTACCGCATTCAACTCTGGGAACTCCATCTAGCTAGCGTCTCAGACAGGGGGTTGACTCGATCCCCGCACCCGAGTACCTGCCCCGGTGACCATTCTGGCAGACCACGGGTTAACCAGATCGGAAGTGGCTGGAAGCCGAGGCTGGACACATTGAGGATTAGATCCTTTATGGGCAGACCAGAGGGGCGTGTAAGGTGGGAAAAGCCGTTGGGTGGGAAAGTGGCGGAACGGGCGCCCTTGTGATGGAAGCGGAGGGGTTAGTGACGATGTCCGTGTGCGCAGGGGAGCCCGGGGAGCAGTGGGAGATGATCTGAGAACTCCCCCACACAAGAGAACACGATGAGAACGTTTGTGAAGGGAGATCAGGCCCCACCGCTCTCTTAGAATTCTGTGAGAGAGGCAACAAGCAGGTGGACAAGCGTGGTCCCGTGGACGTGGGGCTTGTGGACTTTCGGCAAGTCTTTGACAAGGTCCCTCACCGAAGCCTCTTACACCAAGTAACGAGTCCTGGGATGAGATGGCCCCTCGTTGGTCAGATAGGAAAGGAAAGGGGGGGCCAATGATCAACTGGGGGTTGTCTCTCCGGGATCGGTCCCGGGACCTGCGCTTTGAAACATCGTTCCACATGAGCTGGAAAAGGAGGTGAACAGTGAGGTGGCCACATTCACCGATGATACAAAACGAGCTCAGTCCAAAGCAGACCGCAGAGTTACAAAGGGATCTCACAAAACTGTGATGGGACAAGATAAGAAATGCAGTGTCGCTAAGTGCAGAGCAAGCACTAGTAATGCATAGCCCCCTGCCTGACCACCTCGAACCCCCATATTGGAAACTGACGCCCAGAGAGGCCAAGTGACTTTCCCGCAATCGCACAGGGTGTCTGTTGAACCAGGGACTTGAAACTGGATCTCTCTCAGCCTAGGCTAGTGTCCTAACCACTGGACAATGCTACCCCTCTGGCCTGTGATTAGCCTCACACAAGTCAGTGACAGAGAGCCCAGCTCCTGGCCCCCCTGCTCCCCTCTTTTCACTGCTAGTTGCACAAGCACCGCTCCTGGCCTCCCTCCCTTCAGCCTGTGAGGCAGGCTGCAGAGGAGAGGAAGAAATGGTTCCAGGAGCAGCAAGTTAGCGGGCTTGCTGGAGTGAAAAGGGCTTTTCGGCTCGCCCGGCTCCACACACAAGAAGTGCTCTGAGGTGGGGGAAGCCCCAGAAGGAGTGAAAATAAAATCCTC